AAGTGTTTCTAGAACACTAACCCTTCAAGGTTTTCAACCCTAGTTTGTTGAAGCTAGATGCTTATAATTTCATCCACTTGTTTTCAACAAGTAAATCTTCTGATCCAAGAATGATAAATTAGTATTTTCTCTAATAAAAAATAGAAAAGCTTGATTCATCACTTCCAAAATCTAAACTGGAATGGTTTCACAATTAAAGGGTTGTCAAATGAAAGCATAATTATCAAGTAAATATTGTCATAAGTTACACTGATAAAATCATTACACCACAGTGCACATAAAACGAGTCTAATCATTTTCTCTAAGTTTTATAGAAATAGATTAATTTTCTAGTGAATTTGTTTCAGACCCACTATTTTTTAGGATGATACTTAAATGTAAACATGAGTGCTTATTTTATACCTGTACTTTAAGTAAGGTTTTCAGTTGAAATGTCATCATTTCTTTATCAGAAGGATTAAAGGAAACAGGAACCCAGTGGCTTGGGGGTTGAGGGAGAACACTTGGGGATGGAGGCTCACTAAATTTGGCTCCAGCATAGTTCTGGTTTGTTTGAGACTTCAAAAGTAGGTTGGGGTTTGATAAGCTAGAGTTCCAGTTTTGATAATTTGGAAAATGTACTTTGTTCTTCCCCCCACTTTGCATGGCCTGCCATGCAACTGCTGATGAATTATAGCCATGTCCTCTCTCTCTTTTCTTATGAGCAGTCTTCATCGGGGAATTCTGATCCTTGGTCTTCTGTCTATTAAGCTGTTGCTGGTTCTTGCTCACATTTCTAGATTGGGGGACTGCAATGTTAAACCTCTCTCCACCACCCATCTTCAGCTTCTCTGTCACCTAGGAATGAATGGAAAACAAGATAGTTCAGAAAGGGAAGTCCAGAGTTTTCTTTACGTTTCTTCTATAGCCCCAAATTGCAATTTTAGAACTTTTAAGGGAAAACTCAAAAATTGGCCATTCAGTTGCTTTAACTCTTAGAGCAAGCTAATCACACTTTAGTACATACACAACCTTTACTACTTGAACCCAAAACAAAAATGCTCGCCCACAAATTAATCATTTTTGGGGGGAAAGAGGGGTGGATTTAGAATTTGAGTCTTACAGAATATTTGCCCAGAACAATTCTCCGTTACAATGTGACTTTTTATACCTTTCAGTCTGCTTTTCAGATTGTAGGATTTCCACAATCTGCCCTCTTCCTTGTTGCCAAGCGCGGGAGAGTAGGTGTTGCTTTCGGAGGAACCCTTTCCTTTGTGTGAACACAGAAGTTCTCATGGGCCGATCTGCCGAGTGCAGCCTGGGAGCTGAGGCCAACATCTGAGTCTCCTCCGCACACGAGCTTGAGAGAAGCCTTTGCTAGAAAAGACGAGTCCAAAAAAGATGACGACCATTTACATTCATTGCTAATCATCCACTACTATAAGTAGCTACTTTTTGGACTACAGGTCTAAAAAAGGTCTCTGCTGATGGCTTCCTTTGGCCTCATCTGCCATCCTTGGGAAACATTTCCCTGAGACTCAGAAACCCCTGGGGACTTTTGGAAAGGGTGCCTGTCTTCCACCCACGACACGAGTTGTGTTGCTTTTTTCCTGGGAAGAACTTTTCAAATTTTCATGCGAATTCTGTGACCAAGTGTTTACTCGAAATGAACATGCCCGCCTTACAGTCACACCAAGCAACTGGCTTCAGTTCCCATCGGACGGGACCTAGCGCACAGCCCTTTCGCGCCCGCGTCCACCGCAGGCCAAGCCCGGTCCGCCTCCAGTGTGGACCCGGGCTCGGCGTCCCGTGCTGGGAGTGTGTGCCAGTCCCGGCTCGGCCTCCCTGCTCGCTCCGACCGAGCAGAGGACTAGCCGTGCGCGCTGCTCGAGGGGGCCTCCCGGTCTCCACCCGAAGTCACTGACGGGGCTAGTCGAGCAGCGAGGGAGCCCCGGGACCTCGCGTCCCCCACAACTCACACCCCGAAGGCGGGTTGCTCGGCTTCCTCTTTCTTGAGCCCGAGTCCGGAGGCAGGTCTGAGCCGGACCCCGCGCCCCCGACAAGGCTCGTTCCCTGCTGCCAACAATGGGGAGCGCAGCTGCCAACATGGCCGCGCCGGCCCACTCACCGACTTCGAGCTGGGAGCT